TTCATTAACATTAGTTAATTCTCACAACATCCCAGTGGGATAGGGAACCATTATTCCCATTTTACAGACTGGGAAAACAGAACAGTAAAGTTTACAAAGGGAGTCTGACAGTTTTAAATGAAATCTGTTTCCCAGGCCTGTACTTTAATAGCATACGAGGAACAATAGCTCTCATACTTCACAAGAGTACTGTATAGTCAACACCTCCTGCTGGGTCCGGCAGCTGCCCCCACTGGGGCTCTGCTCCTAGTGCAGGTGTGGGGATTGATGCCAGTCCAAGTACAAGCTGGGACTGAGCCAGCATGTCACCCAGCCCACTAAAAAAAAATTTACTTGTGGGTGGGCGGGCAGGCAGGAGTGTTGCATGTAGTTGATAACATTAACTGAAAAGGACCTGCTTATGGATCATTTAGTCGACAACGGTATTATATCCCTAATAAATAATAAAAGTTTCAACACTAGATGAAAAACTTTTACAAATCAACGGATAAATACACTCCTCCACTTGAGTACACATACACTTTTCTATACACAGAAACACTATATATGGCCTTGATTCCGCAGACATTTATGCATGACTTTACATGTAGGAACTCAAATGAACTGGATGGAGCTTACATGTCTAAGCACAGAATCAGGGACTGTGTGCACTATACAATACTTATTGTGCAAGAAGCTGAATCATCTAAATACTGTAGATTAACATTTGTGACTCAGAAGCCACTTGACAACTTGCCATAAAAAAAGTGGCTTAGGCTTGCCACATTAAGTTTTTTTAATTTTAAAAAGTATCATTGTGCTGTTTTGAAGCATTGGTCTTTGGTACTGCATATTGAAGACAGACTGTAATAAAGTACTGCATTATCAGATCTTATACCATACTGGATTTCTAGTCACTTACTTTTGCCAGGCAATTTCATGTTGTGAAGAAAGAAAAGCTACTATGTAAAAATCTTTTCAAAGTTCAGCAGCTTTTTTTTTTTTTTAAATACAATAATATACAAACTCTCTGGCAATCTACCATTTCAAACAGTAACATAATGAAGTAATATTTTTAAAAAGTCACAGTAAGTTTCATGTCTGGTGAGCGCAAGCTTTCCAAATCCACTTTCACACCACTGATCAACTCAAACAATACCTAATGATCTGTTTAGAATTTATTCTGTGAAATGAGTATCTCCATATAAACTTCAGGTACAGAGTTTTAACTGACAGCTGTGTGAACTGTATAGCAAATGCTTATCGGATAGTCAACTACTTTGTTCACTATCAGAAAGAGGCAGCAAGGGGGAGGGAGGGCTTCAAAGCGGCAGCACCACATGGAGCCCGGGGCCAGTTGTGGAATCTCCAGCTGATCCTGGGCTCCACAGGGCGCTGCTGCTTTGAAATGCCATGGGGAGCACGGGGCCAGTGAGGGACTGCCCCATTGGCCCCGTCCTCCCCACAGCGCTTTCGCCTTTGAGGTGTAGAAACAGCATGGCTGTTTCTACACTTCAAAGGTAGAGGCATCCTTATCGACTAATTAAATAGTCAATGCAATATGCATTGACTGTTAGATTAGTCAATTAAAACAAAATTTAACATCCCTATTCCTTTGTGCTGAAGTCATTGCTAGCATTTTAACCAATTTTAGGATTGGTATGTTTAATTATGCAAATAAGACTTCTGGACATCCTTAGTTCTAGAGGATATTCAATTTCTGCAGAAGTTAGAATCTGCAATTCTGCTAGCAAAGATACAACTACAATAAGAGCTATTTCATTTAAGATGTAAAATTAATCCTCAAATGAAAGTTTCTTCCTGAAACCAACAGTAAACTAAATGCATAATCAGGGACATTAAAAGAGAGAACATTTAAGTGTGTGTCTAGACTACAGGGTTGTTTTTTTTTTTGTTTTGTTTTTTTAAAAAGTGGCCTTTTTTTCAAAAAAACTTCCCTTGCATTTAGACTGTTGCCACGTTCTTTCAAAAGTAAATCAAAAGAACCCGGTAGTTTTTTTGACCATGGAAAAATCTCCTTTTACGAGGAATAATGCCTTTTTTCAAAAGTACTCTTTCAAAAAGAGGTGCTATGTAATGCAAACTGGTTTTTTTTTTTTTTTTTTTTTTTTTTTAAAAATTACCCTGACTTCCTGGTTGTTTTTCAAAAGTACTGGTTGTCGTCTAGATGCTCTTTTTCAAAAAAGGCTTTTTCGAAAAATTCTTTCGAAAGAGGCTTGCAGTCTAGACGTAGCCTTAAAGAAAGGACATTTAGGCCATGTCTACATTATCTTATGGGCAAAAAATTACCTCAAGGACATGAAAAAAAAAAGTATCTCCAGGCAACATCAATTTTGCCAGCAAAAGCACTCATGTGCACAATGCTATGTCGGCAAAAGAGCTTTTGCTGACACAGATCTCTGCACATAACAAAATAGCAATTGCTGCTTGTTTTACAATCTTCCAACAGCATAACGTGGCTATACAAATTGATACAGCTGTGCCACTGTGAATTAACTAATGTAGATTAAAAAAAATCCAATGGGGCAAGAGACAGGATATTTACTACAAACCATTTTGGAAATGGTAAGTCTTGTGTTCCTAAACTTTAGTAGTTGTTCTACAGAACATGGTCTCAAGAAATCTTATCTTGATTTAGAGTAGTAGGATACTGTAAAGAGAATAGAGGAACTGAAAGAATTAAGCTTGATTTCTGAAGCAATATGTGGAAAGAACTGCTTGCCTAATTAAAAAAGCCTGAATCCAATACCCAGCAAAAACTGTGCATGGCTATATTCCCTTACCCTATGGTCCCATCTCCCCAACAGGACCTTGAAATTGAAGGGCACTGTTGGCTTTTAAAGTAGGAAAGGAATTTAGCAGTTGGTTTACTATTCTATGAATACTGCTGGTCCATTAAAAACAACCACACTTGAGAAAAATGGGCTTAAGTTGTTGGTAATGTGAGGAGTAAAACATACACACCCTAGCAAACCACTTTTGTTTCTCATTTATTATGTAACACTCCCAAAAATGTTTAACATGTCTTTTACCCCTCATCTAACATAACTACATCAATAATTTACCTAACTATGCAGAAGTTTCCCTTAATATTTCAAAATAATATTTCAATACTATTTTGAAACATTCATCCCTTACAAATAGCATGCAAAGATCTGGTAAGTGAGGAAGAGAAAAAACAAGGGAAAACACCAAACAGCCACTTCAATGAATACTTTGTTACTTTTGAAATATTGTCAGAGCTATTACTAAACAATAACCTAATTTAGTAATCTACTAGAGTGTTTCTGACCATAATATCTATAGCCTATGAAGTAGTTCAGGAAAGCTAATGAAGCTTCAGGGGGTAGCCGAGTTGGTCTGTACTAACGTTTCTTAATTGGCCAAAAGCAGCCAATACAGAACAAAAGATGTCCACAGGAAATGTGATCTATAAAGTTGTCTCCTATTCCAAGACCAACAGAAGAGAAGGAACAGGAAAATGAGGATGCACTAGTACATTTCTTTTTCCTGGGGCTCTTACAACATCCCCTTTCTTGTTCGATTGGTTGTGTGCCCTTTTCAAGCCTCTAGGGATGGTGTTCTTTTTCACTTAACACCATCGAACTGTGTGGGTGGAGAGGGCAGGAAGAAGAGAAGGAAAGAGACAAGCAGAAGGGAAGAAACAGAGATGCAAAAAGCCCATTATCAGCACTAACGCATTACAGGACATTATACTGCCTACAGTAGAATCCTCCCTTTCTCTATGTCATATGTGGAGATTCCTAGACATTACAGCCAGACATATGCCTACAAATCCTTTCTAGGAGCGATGGGTTTGATTTATGTCCACACATCGTACCAGAAACAAGCAGCAGACTGTATCACAGACACCAGGGAGTTGTCTCCCAATACCCTCCATCGCATTTCCTCGCTTTCCACACAAAACGCAACTCAAAAGCATAAAAGCGAGATTTTTAAAAACTATTTTACAGTATTTTAAATAGACCTGACAAATTACCCCAGACACACCGCAACGCTGGGTCTCCGCGCCAGACGGACCCATCCACAGCAGCCTTGCTCAGGAACGCCTGCCCCACCGACTGCGGCGGGGGGAGGCGCCGAGG